CCCAAATTAAAAAATCCTCGTGATAAAAAAATGCATCACACCAATGTGTAATTAACATTAAATGATGTAGATAAGGTCAATAGCAATAAAAAAAATTAAGAAACAATTTGATTAAGTGCCTTATGAAATTATTTTAATTTCATTAAAAAAAAACCAAAGTGACTTGAGGTGTTGATAATACTTCTGGGCCGACTTTACCAGTAAAATCGATTTTTGAGTGTTCTAATATGGTATATTCGCATATATCTACCTAAACAAATAAGAAAATAATATCAGATTGTATGCTATTTAATAGAAAATGTATAATGTCATACAGGTATTACACTGGGCTCTGTCAGTTTACACTAGTAATTGGGACCTCATGTAATACCTGTATGACATTCAGATTTCACCATGGTTTTCGTAGTTTTCATACGTATTTCCACAATCAGTGACACTCAGATAATAAAACAGTTCAAATCCCTAAACGAATAATAACAAAGGATTATAGAAATCGTTCATATTTTTGTAAAAATTTCATTATTACTAACCACTTGTTCCCGGTCGCGGCGCCGTCGCTAGTTCAATTATAGATAAAAAAATATAAATGACACTTCACTAGCCAATCACAGCTAAGAATGATGGACAGATGCACCATCTAACTAACTAACGTAAAAGTTCTGGTAAATTTCAACAGATAGCGTTGATTTATATTTTTTTGTTTTATGTAATAAATATATGACGCCAGGCCCCAGGAGGTTAGTAGGATTGGCAGCCCTGAATATGACGCGCTTAACCCACTGGGCGCCGGTGGGATCATCGCTCGGCGGGTGGCCATGACTCACTCTGTTGCCACTAGGATACAACTTTTTACAACTAAAATGACCTAGAGCTTAGACTAGACTAATTCTATTTTATGGAGCATAAAATATCGCCAATATAAATCTAGCTTCGTTAAAATCGGTTAGTAGCAGAATTTTTTTATCGCATGTTTCTCACTTTCAAAAACCGGAATATCAATCTCCTGGTGAATCCATTTATCTATTTGTGAAAATCGCAAAAAAAAAATTGTTCAGTAGTTTTTAGTTCATTGCAAACAGTCGCTGCGGAGGATTTTGTTTCTAATTAATTATAATTGAAGTCCTAAATATGACATGCTTGTAACCTACTGGTCGCTAGGATCATCGCTCGACGCACAGAAATGACTCACTGCTTAGTCTCGGAGTAGGTATCTGAAGGTCGACTTGGGTCTTGTGCATATTAATTCGATGGATTAGCTGTCGATAGACGGCCGTTAATGAATTCACAGGGTCATGAGAGGTCCGGATTCACAGGTGGAAACGCGGCATGTTAAAAAATATTGCTACAGAAATCATTACAACATTTTTTTTAATGTTAAATACACCTAGGGTTCACATAGAGGTGAATTGACAAAGATTTGATGTCGCATATCCTACCATATTGTACAGCAGACATCGGCATATCCAGTTAAACATTGAAACCTTCTATGTTTCTTGTATTAGGAGCTATTTTGCAACTAAAAAGTGTATGCCGATGTGCTGTCGACGGGTAATTTGAAAACGTAGCGATGCGACGATTAGAATTGAAATCGAATATTACTGTCGTCGAACGAAACATGCCTTTCATTCCGAAATCAAACCTCATAAATATTCACCTCTGATTCCTACCAATTTGTAATTTCCATAATATTTGTTTTCTAGTCACTGAGCATAATCAGTAAATTATTACCAGTAGCGGACGTCCAAAATTATGTTCGTTTCGTTCGGAATTTAATGTGTCATTTTTATGCAGAGCGTCAGTCAATGATGACAGCCTGTATAGTAGCTATGTGCTATTGTATGAGAATATTTTTACTAGGGGTTAACGCCAACTTTATTTGGGTACATTTAAGTTACAGTTGATTTGAATGGCTCGCTAGCTTTAGTTTTTAGGTGAATAAGTAGTGATAGCATAATATTGCATACACCCCCACGTTGCCGTTGTATTATTGTAAGTTTTAACTAGTACATTCTAATCGAGGCATGAATATAATTTAAAATTACTAACCCTCGAATAATTCAAATACAAACAATATAACAATCTCTGTTGAGTCCTACTAACTTTATAGCACAAGTGTTCAAGTCATATAACAGCTGTAACTACAGAGGCTTTATGACATATTCCTCGCTGCCATGTTAGTTTCCGAGCGGGTGGAATGTTCGTTTACGAATTCGGCACCGGCTTGCGAATTTACATATACAGGTCAAAGCGGAATGTTAATTTGAATTTGGCACACTTGCAGTGTGTTATGTACGTTTGTACATAGTGTTCTTAGTTCCTATGCCATTGTGTTGTGTTCCTTGAAAAGCATTAGCATTAAATTGGATAATTTATACCACACTTACGGCGTTCTACATTTAGGTATTTGTGACTTTAACACTTTAAAAAAATGCCAGGAATCCAGGTCGTAATGGAATAATAGGACTTGTATCGTGGCCAGTGATTACACTTGAATACTTATTCTGGAAATTACTTAGTACCTAACTCTTCTTGTTAGTACAGAGAATTATTACCGGCGCGTAAGATACCATTATTTGTAACGTTGCCAGAGACAGTACTTTTTGCGTTTTTTCGTCCCGCAAGTTTCCGATCCAAATCTGGCAACCTGGTTCTAACACCAGCAACATATAAATCTCTTAATCCTTAACTCTACCAGTATCAATCATTACCTGCATAACATTCCGCACGACTTCAGCGCCCGCTTGCAGCGCTTTGTGGAAGGTTCTAGTGGCGACGAAAGCTCTCCGAAGCTGCACCGAAAGCTTCTGCGGCACGTCCTCGAAGGGACGGATCTCGCGCATGTGCTCATTCACGCACGAGAGGTACCTGGAGACAAAAGTAATAAATAAGTGAAGTTCAAAGATTATTTATTCACCGAGATAGTGTGGTACAATAAAATGTGGTCTTATGTTCTCTTTAACACGCAGGTTAGTGTACCATCCCTACATTGTCGACATTCCACCAACTCGCAGTAAGCGTTTCGACGACTCGTTTATAATGCGAACAGCTAGGGACTGGAATTCGCTGCCTGCTGCTGTATTTCCTGAACACTATAATCCGGGCGTTTGGCGAGAGTGAATAGGCACTTACAGGGCAGATATGTACCATCCTAGACTGCAGTCTATCGCACACAATTGAGATGCATCTCAATTTGAAAATTATAAATAACTTGAAAAAAGCCCAGTTTTCGTATTTTCGAATCTGTCTATCGCTTTCCCTCATGTCAGGATTAAGTGAGATGGACTGACCCGAAAATACCGGAAGGGTGTTGGAGAGAAGCCCTGCAGGCTTGGTCGATCGATAGCGTGCATTTTGAAGAGGCCTACTGCAGTGATTTGATGATAAATGGCTAATAGCTATTACAACGTTTATAATTATATGGAATCAAAGGGTTAATTACTTATAAAGTATATAACAAAATTTTGAATAACAATGAAAACAAAATAGACAATTAATTGAAACCAACCGCAAACTTTAAAAGATTATGAGAAAACAAAGCACCAACATCAAACTTGAATAGCACAATAACAATTCAATAAAACTTTAAGTATTATTCATGATGAAGCCCTCACTGGAGGGTCACACTCCAAGGGAGCTGTTGTTTATAACTGCCGCCTATAAAACACTTAGTCGGACAGTTTTATTGTTATGGACACGTAAACAAACTATTAGCCCGATAACGGCGCATATAAAAACCATTGAAAGTGCATTGTGATAAGTTTAGAGTCCACCTTATTATACACAACGAGGCCTGTTCATCTCCGCGAGTTTGCATGGAAAACAGAATACGCGCGACCATACCTCCTGGGTTAATTTGGCAGCATTACAGTACCGATCACTGACATCAACGAAACGGTGCTCGACTCTTGAGACCATATTGTTGACGGCATTGAGTATATATTTTTTAAAATACCTTCGCCAAGAAAACTTTCTGTACGTACTTATTATTATTCTGTGACACAACTTACAAGACAGTTTCAGGCAGCTAGATTTAGGTAACTGCCAGTTACTAACCTATGTCGATAGTAATAAACATTGGCGAATTTGGCGACTACATCATCATGCAAGATCATACCCTCTACCAGAGGGAAATTGAGGATTTAGCCTATAGGTACTCACATGTTGACGACTAGGTACTTGAGAGACGCTAAACGGAAAGACGCTAAAAATAAGTTACTTAGTTACTGACACTTGACACTACTCGTTTATCAATAAATGTAAAACGGTATGATATCACGAACAGTTTTAATTGCGTTCATACCTTTCAATTAAAAATATTGCTAATGAATGAGTGACATCATCAGTAATCAACATCACTCTTGCCAAGACAACTGGTCCGGGCGATTTGGTAATACTAAGAATATTTAAATGTACCGTTAAGGTAATGTATTTTAATAATTACGTGACATAGCCGTTAACTGTGACCACAAAATGACTGTATTATAAAACAGAAACATATGTCGACTCTAGGAATGTCTGGTTTGGACGTGCGGTTACAGGCGTTTGCGGTCAGGTGAAGGATTGAGCGGCCTAAAACTGGAGGTCAACTTTACAAAACAATTTCTGTATAAAACTTTTGTCTCTCTCATTTATACAGACATCTCAGGATGAGTGAGAAAGACAGGAGAGTGTAATCTCTACATTTCCTGCGCCAGTCTAACTGCGTGTATCCATGCAGAACCGACAAGCGGTGGGTTCAGTAATTAAAATATCAGCACTGCATGGCTGCACTGCATATATCCCGTATTGTCAAGTTATATTCTCATGGGAGTTTACGATATTTAAACGAGGCACGAGCCGTGTGACATGGCATGATATCTAAGAAGGTGAGACTAGAAAGAGGATTTGGGAGCTTTTTGTTGCAAAAGAGCACCTATCAGGCCAAACGGGACTATTCCCACCTCTCGTTTTCCCACCACTGCAACTCATGTATAACCAGGATCTACAGCTTGACCGCCATAAAAACCCAACCAATGAAGATCAAATTTGTCCCGGGGGAAAGTTAAACTGTCATTGGACCAGCAACGTAATTAATCAGAAGAACATAGGAGGAGTTCGAAATTAAGGTTCACCTATCAGGCCACAGTGGCACAGGCATGTGCCATGGTCAGAGATAAACAGACATGTGCTATTGTCTTATTAACATTTTTTTGGTAACGCATTTTCTTACATAACTTTTCAATTCCTATCATTGGAGGTCCGAAAATATTTCTCATACAATTTGATACCATAATGATCATTCTTCATAAAAAATTTAAAACCTACATATTTAAAGACATAATCATTGATATTCATAATATCACTAATCATACACTTAGTTTTTACTAATATTTCTTTTCATATATTTTTCTATACGAATGATCGAAACTCATAATCATTCGAATAAATAACTATAATATTCATAAATGTGATGTATCCTAATATATGTTTTCATAAATTTATTACTCATAAGTGTATTTATCCATATTATTGAAATAGGTACATGATGTCTATATTCGTATTAAATCGTATTTTAATATTAAATTAATTTGAAATGGTCCAAAACAGGCAATATTTTGTACAAAACTAACGTGACAGAAACGAATCGCTGCAAAACCGATTCCACGTAGTCTTGTCTGCCCTACCCCTAGAGTGTAATTTAAAAGCCGGAGGCGCGGGGGGAGGGCAGCACTCGCCCGCTGTAACGAGGCTCAGGCGCCCGGGCGAGCTGGAGCGGCTGAGGCTGGTCGCCGAGGCGCCGAAGGCGCCGATGGCGGTCCAAAAAGCCGAAGCTGCGGAAGCAAGCGTGGGTGCCTGAGCCTCGTTACGCAAGGGCGGAAGGGCTGCACATCCCGCAGCGCCGGAGACGAGGAGATACCAATGCATGCTGCATGCTTGCTTTCATGCTGCATGCTCTGCATGCTTATCTACTCTATTAAATTATATATGATTTTTTTAAAGATACGAGTATGTCTGTTATAAAGTAAATTATTCTGAACAACAACATTATGAGTTGAAGTATGTTCTTAGTAACAACATTATTAATTAAAACAATATGATCAATGAATGTTATGAAGAAAAAAGATCTGAAAATAAAAATTATGTATTTTAAATGGTTCTTGGTGTAACAGTATTGATAAAAAAATTATGATTACTAACTGTTATGAGCTCCGATGGTAGTAATAAAAATGTATAAATAAAAAAAGTATGAAAAATAAAATTATGAAGAGAGATTATTATGAACACAAATCGGTAGTAAGACAAAGAATAGGATTTAGAATTTTATGTGAGCCAATATAGAACCCATTTTTTTATATTACGAGTATAACGAGGAAAATTTGAATGTTTGTTTGTATTGAATAGGCTCCTAAACTACTAACCCGTTTTGAAAAATCCTACATTATTTCTGTTGAAGAAAGGCTAGTCTAGTCTAACAGCAAAATCGAAATTACTGCTTTTATAGCTTGGACTTTAGCCTCTCAATTCTCAAAGTATTATCGATAGCCTGCTGATTGTTTTAAGGTTCAACAAAACGTTAAAAAGCTCACTATAAAATATTGTTTTTTTTTAATGAATCGACTTTAACTTAATCCCTATACTTAAACTAATAGGACAAACTACCATCGCGTGACAACGATCGGAATCCAAACATCTTCAGCAATTAACTACACCATGATGGGTGGCCGAACCTAGTAATGGCTTGAACGCATTCTGGGCGTTTTAATATGTATGAACGTACGATAATATGGCCCTTTTACGTCATCCCACCGGCTAAGACAATTGCTTTGGATGTTAGAATAAATTATAACTTTATTAAACGCATTCCTCAAATTCTGAGGCGGAAAATATTATACAAAATCAGAGCTGGTATCTTGGCTATATTTTACAACAACGATACCAACCGGGCGATGTGGAAATCATTGGGGGAGGCCTATGTTCAGCAGTGGACGTCCTGTGGCTGAAATGATGATAATAATACATAATTAATTAATACATAATTTTAATTGAAGCATAAGCTATCGATAAATATTTAAATGAAAGTAAAATTGGTAGCGAATTCATAAATTAATGTAACTTTACGTAACACTTAATTAATACATTGTATAAAATATAAGCGTTAAATATTTATATTATTTGTTTTAAATGGCGTTCATTATCTAAGGAGAAATATTGGAAATGTGTACTTAACCTGATAAATCATCATTAATGTTTGTCAATTAAAATTATAAATTACGTAGAATTAATGTTTTCTGTATGATTTGTGTAGGAAATGTTCATACAGTCGCCAACTAACCAGTAACATGTTAATAGCATGCTTTTTATAATGTGACATGTGTAAGTTGACTATTAGGTGAACTATAATTAAACGATTATACCGTGTTTATAAAACCGCTAATTAGTGGTTTGTCACTTATGTTAAATGTTGATTACGCTTTGATGAAAACAGGTAAGAAATTGTTTCAGTGAAAATATTATTCGTGTAATAAAATAATGTTTAAGGATAATTTCTTTTACCGTTCGAGGTACCTAGTTCAGTTAGTGCTAGTGGCAAGAGATATCATTCACATTTACTGTTTTCCTAGATTCCGCCAAGTGGCACCACCTGGAATTTACCAAGTACCTACCGCTGACGTTACTACCTCATTAATTAGGCCCTTAAATCCACTATGATTAAATATAATGGTCTCAGTTTGACCACCTTAACTTCAAACATAACTTATAACTTTAACCGGTGTTTTTGTACGGCGTTTGGCAACCCAACCCCAGTACGTAAATATTTTACTGAATGTTACTTACTTTTCGTCGAAGCTGTACTGTGAGTTGAGCACCGCAAACATTTTCTGGTAGAGGATCCCGAAGAACTTGTCCATCATGGTGTCGAATTCCTTGTCTCCATGAGTGTAGTACCTGGAGAAAACAATATATTTATATTTTTATCGTTAACATCTACTACGTCAAAGTGTCTAGTCTTGTTCGCACTATTAATTTAGTCGAGAACTTTTTAAACTACTCGAAACTAAGCAAAAAATCGACCGCACTATCAGAGTAAATACAAATGAGTAGGTCATCTTCATAGAAACGCACCACGCACGCGCATAGCACGCGTTTCTATGAAGATGATCTACTCATTTGTATTTACTCTGGCACTATGGTTGGGTACAGTTTACAAGTGATTAAGTGTTTTTTAAATGAACCCGACTTAAGATTCAAGGCACGAGTGACTAGGGATTTCCTGGGAAAGATTGAGCTTTAGGTCGGAATTCGCGATTCGACTCTTCTTGTAAGATTGGACCCTCTGAGAAAAGACATTAAACAAAGAGTTCAATTAGGAAAATGTTCCAACCTTTCTAGTTCTTCGAAGAGCTGCTCAAAGACGTAAGAGTGCTGTTCATAGATCATTCCATACGTGCGTTTGAACATGTTGTGAAACTCCTCGCGAGACATGTGTAGCAGCTTTTTGAAGAATTCTGCAAAAGAAAAAAAAGGTGGTTAGGTAATGAATAAATGTAATAAAAAACAAATGAAAATCTAAGGAGGACTAATGATACGCATGACCTTTATAGTACCATTTCCTAAAATAAAACAAAGCGCTGAGCACTTTGTGAATTTCACTTGAAGGAAGAAAAAACACACGCGTTTTGCCAAGAAACTTTGGCAATTGGAAAGATTAAGGAATATCTAAGAAAAGTAAATCGTAATGCTTCAAAAAGAAAAACAACGGGCTTCTCCGAAGTCTCAGCGAAATGAAGATTTAATGAATCGCTTCACAACGTAAACAAGAATGGTGACTCAAATCTACCCCACATTGTTATTTTAAAATAATTCCGTGAAAACGAATACATTACTGTAACTCCCACTCACCCTAAAATGTGCAACAAACAGACACTAAACGAAATAATTTTATTTATTAGGTAGCGTTAGATGAAAATAAAGAATTTTTGTTTCCAAAGTCTGGTAGATGAACTGACAGTCATTGGACACATAACTAAGTACAAATTAGTCACATTTATATTGAATTGAAATAATAATGTTTTCAAGTAAATACTAAAGGTTATTGACATTGCAGTAGCTCTAATAAAAACGATCAATCTTAAACCTTCACTCAATAGTCTTTCTTGTAGAGCCCGTTAACTATTAGTTTTTATTTAAAGGTAAGAAACTGTCATTTGGACATCAGCTAGACCAACAAGATTAAGTACATAAATGGCGATTTACCCAATAAAAATGTAATTGTTTGATAGTCTGTTTCCTGATTTAGTCTAAAAACTGACGCATGGTAGGTATGATGATATTTGAGATTTAGGCTGAGTTCACAGGCTGAGTTGCACTACCTAACTTTGACCGTAACTAGGTATGCATAACGATAACCGCTGTTTTTTGTGTGGAGATTGACAGATTTTTGACGTTAAAGTAAGATGGTGCAATTTTGCCTTTAAAATAAGGCGCGAAAATATTAATACTAAGTAGTTCAAACAGAATTACTTCTGTAATCTCTAAGTTAGGTACTTTATTATCTAGATATTGTTGATAAGTCTTGACATTGAAAACATTCAATGTTACATAAATTGTAGATGAACAGGGATCGTTGACCGTTAACGCGGTTTTTGTAATTACCACTAAGTACTTAAGTATGAACATTACGTCGCGTGAAAGCATGCATGTTCGAGTTCGTGCAAAATTGACGAATGATCTCCTCTCACACAAACATTTTATTTAGTTTGTTTGTTCGTTCAAGTGAAACAGACTTCAGTCAAAGCATGTCCTAATTTACTTTTTATGAATTTGTTTGAATGGAATTTCCCGGCTTTTCTCTTCTATAATGTGCATGTTTTGTACCTATAAACCTTCATCTTGAGTCACTCAATATTTAAAAAAAATCGAATCAAAAGCAGTTGCGTAGTTAAGCATACATAGGGACAGACAGTGGAAAGAGACTTTGTTTTACTCGTATACTATGTAGTGATAGTGATATTGATCCAGTTTTAGAGTGCTTTTGAAGTCTTCAATTTGGTTATGAATGCAGTTTTATTTTAATTTAGTTCTCAGAGTTTTCAACGCGTAAACAAATCGACTCGTCATTATATGAATGATCTCATTCATTCAAGAAACATGTTAATTTCAATGAATTTGCGAATGAAATTATATGGCAAGATGAACAGGAAAATATCAAGAAACAAAGAGCATTTTCCTCATTTCTTATCTATTAATAATATTTCAGCAGAGATTTCAAAAATATGGGTTTTATAATGTTATTAGGTAAAGTAGTAGTAGCAGTCGTAATCTATATTTAATTTTAGTAAATGTTTTAAGTGCCAAATAAACAAATACTGGGTTTTATGACCTAGTAAGAGATGATGAGATTTAGATGGAACACGCTTAGGAATTCACCTAAGCGTCATCTTCCTAACTTGACTGATTCCTATGGGACCCTACAGGTATGTATCACTATGTATACAGGTCTTTACAGTATCATGGCTGCGTGCGATAGTGAGGAAGGGGAAGCATCAGCCGTAAGACTGATGGATTGAAGTCTGCACTCGGCCAATGTGCGAGCGCACTTCACACGGTGAGTGAACGCAGGTGATTTATTATCATTATGTAGGTACTAGCTTTTGTCCGCGGCTTCACCCGCGTGAAATTTAGTGTCACAAATCGGCATAAATTATAGCCTATATGTTAATCTGGGTTACAAACTATAATACTGTAAAGTTTCAACAAAATCCGTTCAGTAGTTTTTGCGTAAAAGAGTAACAAACATACATCATGACATCCTAACATCCATACAAACTTTCGCATTTACTCGTATTAGATTGAAGATACCAACTCGAGTTTTACAGCGCGGTTAGAGCAAACAACACATCCTCCATATTAATGACTGACCGGCGAACTTTGTACCGCCTATGTCCATCAGAAATAATTTTGATTATAATGGTTAAATAATTTTGCACATCGGTCCAGTATTTTCGGAGGCTATCCAACAATCCTCTATTAAAATACCTATTATTCTCTTTATAATATTAAAGTAGAAAAGTTAAACAATTAGATTGAAATGACATTTCCATGCTAAACGTCACTTAAAACTAGTGTTCAGCTTGAATAACTACACTCGCGAGCAAAAGTATGGAATCACTTAGTTACATGAAATTGTTTCCACGCGATCTTGTGTACTAACTAATTTGTTAGTAACAAAAAAGTCTCGGGACAAAGTCTCCCTAAAGCGTCTTAAAACTTTCGAAACCCAGGACTTGACTTACGTGGCGCTGACGTGCGACAGCCCGCTGACTGAGCCCTTCTTGCAATAGTGCAACGATTTGTGCTGCTTCTGTAGGTGTAGAATCCATTTTCGTCTCAGGTAAAGTGTCAAAAGATGCGGAGATGTGTATGGATCAACGTGTGAAAGCAAAAATCCGAAAACACGTGCTTTTATAGGGGGTAAATAGGCCGCAACTCGCGACCGTATCAAACAGTTGGTAGATACATGTCTTTTTCCTTCCTTCTTCACATCAGCCGGGATATCTTTTTAAATACTGATGTGATTTAAATGAATTTGGTATCAATTTAAAGTTAAAAGTTTAATCTTTAAAATGGTGCCACTTTTTTTGTTACTAAAAAATTAGTTAGTTCACATGATCGCGTGGAAACAATTTCATGTAAGTGATTCCATACTTTTGCTCGCGAGTGTAGGGTTAATTATACCGCACTTCATTAAAGCTGTCGATCGTGGTCGAAACAAATGAACTTATTAGCAATCGTTAAAAATAAAGCGATCAAGACAATAACTGTCACTTAACACTAACGAAGTCGTAATTTAGACAGCATAAACAATTTAAATTAAATTAAAACACCACAAAAGAAATGATATTATTGTATGATGAACAACACGCATATTTTTAACGTCAAGGTTTTTTAAAAATCGTTAAATATTGTTATTTTGAGAATATCGATTTCTAACAAATGACCACAGCTTGCGTGGATTTAGAATAAAAGTTGATTTTAAAAACATCAAATGACAAGTGCAAAAAAAAGTGGTGGTGGTGGCGGTGGCATGATTTTTATGTTGGAAGACTTTATATTTTTGATCATACTTATGTGTGTCTGTATTTCAGCTTTACGTTACCGACTGATGAAAAGAAAACGCTATTATATACTTATGTGTAGACATCGGATTATATGCATTTGCATTATTGCATATGCAAACGCATATAATGCTATTTTTATAGCGTTATTGCATATTTTGGTACTTTTTCATTGACAGTGCTTATTTTAGTATTTATACGTGTTAGACGTGTTGTACTTCGCCGCCGTTCCCACACCAAACATCAACACATCGCCCTCGCACGCACTGCGAGAGCGCATTGAGAGTATTTGAGAGCGATCCGTACCAGTGTTGCCAGTCGGGTCTTGTTTGAAAAGCGAAAATGAATGACCATTCCATGAAGACCGAAAAGTGACCGGTCGTATAAAAACGTTTCCTGGATTTGCGTTATATTATCGAAAAACATTCGCTAAAATTCATTTTTTTAACCAACAATAAATCAAATTCATATTTAAATGCAGTTTATGACCTAATTTTTAAATTGTCACTATTAATATTTTTTACTATATTTATATTGTCACAAGAATTACAGCCAATTAGTACCTATATAATTAATTAATTATGTATTGTGAAAATAAAGTTAATTCTAATAATGTTTTTTTGATTGTGCATATTTTGTGCATATTTCGCCCTTTTTTAGTGCATATTTGCATGCATATTTTGGCATTTTGATAGTGCATATAATCCGATGTCTACTTATGTGTGTCTGTATAATTCAGCTTTGCGTTACCGACTGATGGAAACTTTGGAAAGAAAACGCTACTAGTTAACCAACTTCCACCTAGAAGATTTATAGACACGAGTGTTTTGATAGCGATTAATCGATCCTAATTCATTACGTTACTCGATTAAAATGAGTCCTTCCGGCATATGCATGCGTGATATTCTTCGTCAACATTCTATCCAAATTCCAATATTTGAGGATTTATATAGGGTGGCTTTTTAATATGTTTTAATCTAGCCCAAATCCAGTGGTCGAGTGGCGACTACGGAACGGAAGACGTAGTATGCCTGGATGGGGGCGGCGCAGGACCGGTCGTCGTAAAAATCCTTGGGGGAGGCCTTTGTCCAGCAGTGGGCGTCATTTGGCTGAAACGAACGAATCTAGCTTTGCATTGGCTAAATCTCTATCCCGAATAAAAGGAAGACGCCTTTCTGAGAAGAGTAACGGAGAGTTTTCATGGTATGGGAGCTGCGCAAAATTCGGCGATATATTAAAAATCTTTATTGAGCTGACCAAGTGCGTCAACATAGTACATTTTACACCGAGTTCACGGTACCATAAACCGAGTCGTTTCCACTTCCTCCCATCGATATCGCAACTATCGGCATCTGCGATCTATTTCGGCGCTGCGCACGCGACGACGTTTG